TTAGGTAAATCTATAGAGACAGAAAGAAGATGACTGGTTGCCTAGGGCTGGGGAGGGGTCTTGGGGTCCTGTTTGGGGGAAAAGGTGGAGAAGCTTCTTAAGTGTACTAATGGGCATGGGGTTTCCTTTTAGGATGGTGAAATTTTCTAAAATTGATTGTGACGATGATTGCACAACTCTGTAAATATGCTAAAAAACATTGAATTGTACACTTTAAAGTGTATGTCAATTCTACATCAAGTGAATTGTATGGCATATGAACTATATCTCAAAAAAGCTGTTACTAAAAAAAATACAGCAGATGTAACTTTAGCTCTGCTTGTGTGTGTGTGTGTGTGTGTGTGTGTGTGTGTGGTTTTGTGTTGTTGTTTTGTTTTTCTGCTTTTATTGTTTGCTGATTTTTTTTCTCCTTTTTTTTTTTTTTAGATGGAGTCTCTCTCGCTCTGTTGCCAGGCTGGAGTGCAGTGGTTCAATCTCAGTTCACTGCAACCTCCGCCTCCCGGGTTCAAGCGATTCTCCTGCCTCAGCCTCTTGAGGAACTGGGACTACAGGTGTCCACTAACACACCCGGCTAATTTTTGTATTTTCAGTACAGATGGGGTTTCACCATGTTGGCCAGGATGGTCTCAATCTCTTGACCTCATGATCTGCCCGCCTTGGCCTCCCAAAGTGCTGGGCTTACAGGGGTGAGCCACTGTGCCCAGCTCCTTTATTTTATTTTTATATGAATAAGTTCTTTAGTGGTGATTTCTGGGATTTCAGTGTATCCATCACTGGAGCAGTGGACACTGTACCCATTGTGTAGTCTTTCATTCCTCACCACCCCCCACCCTTTCCCCCAAGTCCTCAATGTCCAATGTATCATTCTTATGCCTTTGCATACTCATAGCTTAGTTCCCACTTATGAATGAGAACATAACGATGTTTGGTTTTCCACTCCTGAATTGCCTCACTTAGAATAATGGTCTCCAATTCCATCCAGGTTACTGCAAATGCCATTGTTTCATTCCTTTTTACGGCTGAGTAATATTCCATGGTTTACACACACACACACACACACACACACACACACACACATATTACAATTTACTTATCCACTCGTTGATTGATGGGCATTTGGGCTAGTTCTATATTTTTTGCAGTCATGAATTGTGCTGCTATATACATGCATGCTATATACATGTCAAGTATGTTTTTTGAATAATGACTTCTTTTCTTCTGGGTAGATACCCAGTAGTGAAATTGCTGGATCAAATGGTAGTTCTGCTTTTAGCTCTTTAAGGAATCTCCACACTATTTTCTATAGTGATTGTACTAGTTTATATTCCCACCAGTAGTGTGAAAGTGTTCTCTTTTCACCACGTCCATGCCAACATCTATTATTATTTGATTACAAGAATTACAGCCATTCTTGCAGGAGCAAGGAGATATTACATTGTGGTTTTGATTTGCATTTCTCTGCTCATTAGTGACGTTGAGCATTTTTTCAAACATTTGTTGGCCATTTGTGTATCTTCTTTTGAGAACTGTCTATTCATGTCCTTAGCCCACTTTTTGATGGGATTTTTTTTTTTTCTTGCTAATTTATTTGAGTTCCTTGTACATTCTGGATATTGGTCCTTTGTCAAATGTATAGGTTGTGAAGATTTTCTCCCACTCTGTGGGTTGTCTGTTTACTCTGCTGATTGTTTCTTTTGCTGCGCTGAAGCTTTTTAGTTTAATTAAGTACCATTTATTTATCTTTGTTATTGTTGCATTTGCTTTTGGGTTCCAGTTCATGAAATCTTTGACTAAGCCAACGTCGATAAGGGTTTTTCCAATGTTATCTTCTAGAATTTTTATGGTTTAAGGTCTTACATTTAAGTCTTTCAGCCATCTTGAGTTGATTTGTGCATAAAGTAAGAGACAAAGCTCCAGTTTCATTCTTCTACATGTGGCTTGCCAGTTATCCCAGCACCATTTGCTGAATAGGGTATCCTTCCTCCACTTTATGTTTTTCTTTGCTTTGTCGAAGATCAGTTGGATGTAAGTGCTTGGATTTATTTCTTGGTTTTCTCCTCTGTTCCATTGGCCTATGTGCCTATTTTTATACTAGTACCATGCTGTTTTGGTGACTATGAGCTTATAGTATAGTTTGAAGTCAGGTAATATGATGCCTCCAGATTTTTTCTTTTTGCTTAATCTTTCTTTGGCAATGGGGGCTCTTTTTTTGGCTCCATATGAATTTTAGTATTGTTTATTCCAGTTCTGTGAAGAATGATGGTGATATTTTGATGAAAATTGCATTGAATTTGTAGATTGCTTTTGGCAGTATTATCATTTTCACAATATTGATTCTACACATCCATATATGTCAATTGAATTGTATAATATCTGAATTATATCTCAATAAAGCTCTTACTAAAAAAAAAAAAACCAGATGTAATTTTAGCTTTGCTTGTGGTTTTAAAAAATACGTCAGAAAGGCCAGGTGCAGTGGGTCACACCTGTAATCCCAGCATTTTGGGAGGCCGAGGCAGGCGGACCACAAGTTCAGGAAATTAAGACCACCCTGGCCAACATGGTGAAATCCCATCTCTGCTAAAAATACAAAAATTAGCTGGGCATGGTGGTGCATTCCTGTAGTCCCAGCTATTCAGGAGGCTAAGGCAGGAGAATTGCTTGAACCAGAGAGTCGGAGGTTGCGGTGAGCCGAGGTCATGCTACAGCACTCCAGCCTGATGGCAGAGTGAAATTCCATCTAAAAAAAAAAAAAGTCAGAAAAACACAGCCTTTCAATTAATCTAGTAGAGCAACAGAGCTGCTTAATATTGTGGCAAGTTAGGGGTCAGACAAGATCAGCTTGGAATAACCATGAAAAATCACAACCTTCAGAGAGAGGATTCACTGTTTAAATTGTGACATATGCTACCAGAAAGGACACAGAACAATACATAGGGCCAGGTGCGATGGCTCACGCCTATAATCCCAGCACTTTGGGAGGCCGAGGTGGGCAGATCATCTAAGGTCAGGAGTTTGAGACCAGCCTGGACAACATGGCAAAACCCTGTCTCTACTAAAAATACAAAAATTAGCTGGGCGTGGTGGTGTGCACCTGTAATCCCAGCTACTTGGGAGACTGAGGCAGGGAGAATCACTTGAACCCGGGAGACGGAGGTTACAGTAAACCTGGATTGTATCATGTACTCCAGTCTGCGTGACGGAGCGAGACTCCATCTCAAAGAAAAAACAAAGAACAATACATAGAGAAGCTCTATCTTCTGCCATTGGAAGTTTTCCCTAACCATCCACGTTGCAGGATAAATGTCAGAGAAGTTATGCAGAAGCTGATTTTTATCAATCCTGAAAAATTAGCTGCCCACAACTCACTAAGCTGTAGTCACACTGGGCTTCTGTAGTGTGTTTATTAGCAGTGTGAGAGTCTGTTCTCATGCTACTATTAAAGACATACCCGAGACTGGGTAATTTATAAAGAAAAGAGGTTTAATTGACTCACAGTTCCACATGGCTGAGAAGGCCTCACAATCATGATGGAAGGCAAATGAGGAGCAAAGTCATGTCTTACATGGTGGCAGGCAAGAGAGTGTGTGCTTTATCAAACCATCAAATCACGTGTGACTTATTCACTATCATGAGACCAGTATGCAGGAAACTGGCCCCGTGATTCAATTATCCCCACCTGGCCCTGCCTTTGACATGTTGGGACTATTACAATTCAAGGTGAGATTTGGGTGGGCACTGCCAAACCATATCAGCTAGTAAGCTGATATGGTTTAATGAGTTCTGCCTCAGGGTCTTTGTATCTGCTTTCCTTGGCATCTGAGTCCTCACTCTTCCTCCAGGCCTCCACCTAGCAGGTTCCTCACCAGTCAAGTCTGCTCCAATGTAGCTTTCTCAGGAAAACGTTCATAGCTCCCGCTAGCTAAAATATTCTTCCTCCACCTAAGTTCTCTCTCTCTTTGCTCTGCTTTATTTTCTTCACAGCAGATGAAATTCTCATGTGTTTATCAACTTCTTGTCTGCCTTCCTCCCTGAAAACAAGCTCCATAAGGACAGGGGCCCCACCTGCCTGGTACTCTAATATACCCTGTACCTACAACACTGCCAAGTAGGCTATGGGTACTTGATACATATTTATTGGGTGAATGATCTCCCTGGCATAAGTCATAATCAACTTCCTTATATAACACCCAAAAGGGCAAGCTCTGTACTTGATATTGCAGCTTATACACGAGTACAGAGAACAGTCTGTAGCTGCCTCCTGGCTAAAAGGCCAAATGAGTCTCCTGGCTCACACTGGAAACCTAGTTGGCCACCAAGGACTTCCCGTGCCCTAGCACTAATCCTTCCTCACCCTAGTCTCAGGTCAGAAGGCAGATCGCCCTCAGGGGCCTTTCCTGTGGGTTTATAAATAAGTCTGGACTCATTGTTGATCATAGACTGGCCTACATAGCACCTTGCCCTGCATTTGCTCAGTGAGTCGGACAGATCCCAGTAAGATCAGTAAACAGTCATGTAGAGAACAGACCAGAACAACAACGTGGGGTCTAAGTGGTCATACAAACTCCACACATTTAAGATCCCCTCTGAAACCTTGCCCTCCATTATGCAATAGATGTAGGAATTGTTCATTCCTTTTTTTTTTTAGATTTTAATGTTCCTTCCACTGCAAATCAAGGAATTTTTTTCTTTTTTTTTTTTTTTTTTTTTGAGATGAAGTCTCACTCTTATTGCCCAGGCTGGAGTGCAATGGAGCAGTCTCAGCTCATCACAACCTCCGCCTCCCAGGTTCAAGTGATTCTCCCGTCTCAGCCTCCCGAGTAGCTGGGATTACAGGTACCTGCTACCATGCCTGGCTAATTTTTTATATTTTTAGTAGAGATGGGGTTTCACTATGTTGATCAGGCTAGTCTCGAACTCCTGACCTCAAGTGATCCACCCGCCTCTGCCTCCCAAAGTGCTAGGATTACAGGCATGAGGCACCGCGTCCGGCCGGAATTGTTCATTCTTACTGGAACGGCTCTCTGGCTTACTTTTCTTGTAAGTCATTATATTCAAGTGGACACTCAAATGTTACCCCATCTACAACCCTTAATGAGTCATTCAGCGCTTCATAAACTGAAGAGTGCTGGTCACACAAGAGGTATCATTATAAAGCCCAAACAATTGGAAATTGTTTCCAAATTATACCTATACTTGTAAGTTCTTTGAAAACAAATTGTTCAAAATAGTATTTGAGACTTTTCAATTATTCAAAAAATTACATTAAAATGATTTTTATGGGTGCAGCTTTAATTTATTTGGGTACCGAACACAGAACAATGATCTGAGACTCCCATTTACAAGGCCTGACTTCATATTTAATAACACACACAAAAAATGGAGCTTAATGACTGGAGAATACATATGCCATTTTATTACGGACTGAAGACTTAGAAAAGAGGAAAGTGTTATCCGTAAAATAAGACCTTGCAAATGATCTCCTGATACATTTAGAACAGATATAACAGATTGCGTTTTCACTCATTGAATCCTCGATTTAGAATTGGGATGGCTTCATTACAGTTCAAACCTCTCATCTTCCAAATGAGGAAGCAGTGAGGTAAGCAACTCCTCTGGCTTGTTATGAGGCAGAATCACTGAGTGGTTTCGATCATTAGCAACAGGATTCTAGAGGCAGATGGTTTTGAGTTGGGGGTCTGGTTGTCTCACCTTTTAGCTGCATCACCACAGTCAGGATGTCCTGTATGAACCTGGGCATCTTACTAAATTTCTCCAAACCTGCATTTTCTTTTTTTTTTTTTTTAATTGCATTTTAGGTTTTGGGGTACATGTGAAGAACATGCAAGATTGTTGCATAGGCACACACGTCTCAGTGTGATTTGCTGCCTTCCTCTCCATCACCTATATCTGGCATTTCTCCCCATGCTATCTGTCCCCAACTCCCCACCCCCCACCGTCCCTCCCCTATTTTCCCCCAACAGACCCCAGTGTGTAGTGCTCCCCTCCCTGTGTCCATGTGTTCTCATTGTTCAACACCCGCCTATGAGTGAGAACATGCCGTGTTTGATTTTCTGCTCTTGTGTCAGTTTGCTGAGAATGATGATTTCCAGCGAACCTGCATTTTCTCATCTATGAAATGGAAATACTTCATATACTTGCACAGGTTGTTTCATAATGTATGCAAAATACAGCCCAGTACATTTATTTATAAATAACGAGGGATCTGGAAGGCATTTTCTGACCTGTCTTCTTAATTCAGAATAGTTTCTTCAAGGGATTACAGCACTAAGAAGGATGCAAGTCCACTTGAATTAATACCAAGAGATTAATAGCACAGAGATATCTGTGCTCAGGTATGGCCTATCTATTAGTGGCAAGTGGAGAAACACTATTCAGTTCAGTTGGAGGGTTAATTATAACAGTGCAGGTAGATATTAAGTTCTATGAAACATCACAGAAATCCATCAGAGGAAATTCTGTGTTACCCAGTCCATACTGTATACATACATATTTGCCATGGATATTGTTACAATCCTTTTCCAATTCTACTAAAGGCAGTCACAGATTCGTTACCTCAAAGAGCTACTCTTGTCTTCCTAATGTTTATAACAATGACTTGGATTTACATAACTCCTTTCTGGCATGCATTTTCATGTCAGTTTTAGCCCAAATCATTTGACATTCACAGATTTCTACTTGATATGCAAAGCATATCGTATCTGTGCCATTTTTTGTGTGTGTGTCTGTCTTTATTTTAATGCAGGAGGAGTATGAGACCCAGAAAAATTAAGCAACTTGTCCAGATGTCACACAGCCCAGTAGCCAGAGCAAGATGGCAGGAGCAGTTAGTCACGTGAGCTGCCCAGGGCTTCTCATAAGATGTGTATGGAACACTGGAGACCTTGTTAGGATGTGGATTCTGAATTCAGCAGGTCTCAGGGCGACTAGGATTCTGGATGCCTAACAAGCTCCCAGAAGTTGCCACTGCTGGTAGGTCTGGAATCACCTCTCACTGTACCCTTCATAACACAACTTGTTCGTTTACAACTTGGCCTGGCTGCCCAGCACAATCTGGCAAAAAGGAACTGAATGAATATTTTCGAAGAGTGAAAAAAAATAACCTATTGCCAATTATAAAGCCACAACACTTGCATATGAAGACTCTTATTACTTGTTGAAAATGGATGTTTGTCATTTTTCTTGTCTCAAGTCACATCATGACACATAGTTGTAATTGCCAGCTCCCAAAATAACGTAACCAAAAGACGCCCTGGGAAGTCAACCCGTTTGGGTCTATAGCTCCAGTGGAACTATGCCTAAGTTCCAATGGAACACAGTTACCTCCTTGGGCCAATGTGATGGGTTAATGTGAGGTTATTCTAAGTGTAAGGGAGAGTGTAAATTTGAAGGAAGCCACATCACTTTTGCTCCCACCTGAGGAAAATAATGACAGTGATCTATCATGGATTAAGGGTTTCCCATATGCCAGACACTGTACTAAGTACTTTGCATCAGTCATGTCATTTCATTTTTCTCTACAACCCTATGAACGAGGCTCTCATAGGTAAGGAAGCTGAGATACAGGGCTGTCAAACTATAGTAAGTGGCCCACATAGTCTGGCTTCAGAATAGATTATTTGAGCCACATTGTCTACTGCCTGGAAGCTTTCAGAGAAAAGAAACTGCCTAAAAATAAGAGTAACCTGATAACAGGTTCCAACAAATCTCAGACATAGGAGTTTGGGGAGAAACACAGCACATCAACAGGAGGTGGTCCTTATACCCAAAAGGTAGGGTCTAATAATGCAGTGTAGAAGGAGAATAGGATTTTCTGCTACTGTTCTCAATTAAGTCTCACTTTGACTCTATTTGGTTTGTAGGTAAATATACAACACTGCTGACTGGTTAAGTAAGAGCTGGTTAAAGGATATGTCTCAAAGGTCCAGATTCCTTCACACTTAATTAGATCTCTTATGAAAACTTGCATTAATGATTGGGCCAAATCAAAGAAAGTAGTTATCACATAGAAGAGAACAGAGTTTTGTTGAGCATGCGTGTCCAAAGTAAAAACTCAAAAAGTCTAAAGGACAGAGAGGCACATGTTTTTCAAAAGCTTAGAAAGTACAAGTTCAACAGTTATATTTTAACACTGACTATGAGATAAAGAGGAAACGCAGAACATAGGGGAAGAGAATCCATTTTTGAGTGGGACAGAAGAAAAAAGTAAACTTGATCTTTCTTCTTGATAAAAAAATTTTATATATGGAATAAGAAAATGGGGCAATATTAAATGCAGAAATCTGGGCTTGAATAAAGAATTACTGTAAGAAAAACAGGTTAGCTCTACGGATTGGTTTTAACTACACTTGTCTTATAGTTATTATTTACCTTTGGAGGCAACATATTACAGATTGTGAAGCCTCCAGATCTGGTTCCAGACACTTCCTAGTGTTGGCCTCAAACTGGCACAATTCTTCCAAGATTCAGTTTCTTCATCTGTAAAATGGAGGCAAGAAGCACATACCACCTAGGATTATTGTAAGCCTTACATTAAATGACATAGAGTGAGCATTTAGTCTCAAATAGGAAATCAACATAGGGTACACTCTGCCTTCTCTCCTTTCTTGTAAGTTCTGTTTTCCTAAAATAATCTCTTCTAAGTATTTTCATTCCTTTTTTTTTATTACTTTTTTTTTTTTTAAGACGGGGTTTCACCATGATGGTTAGGCTGGTCTTGAACTCCTGACCTCAGGTGATCCACCCACCTCGGCCTCCCAAAGTGCTAGGATTACAGGTGTGAGCCACGTATTTTCATTCCTAAGTCTGTGTTGATAGAAATATTTCTCTAGCAATATTTCTTACTCAGTTGCCCAGGGTTAAGAAAATCCACCTACAAACAGATAAAATATCTGTGTAAGAAAATTGGTACAGCATATGTAAAGATTATGCTACTGGAATGTTAAGCTTGGTATGTTAAAATAGAATTATATAAAATGTCACATAGGTACACATCCTAAAAAAATCAACTTCACTCACAATCTCACCTACACATTTTAGTCAATACATAAAATAATGACTATGTTTAAAAAAATCCAAAAGTTTTTTGTTTGTTTGTTTCTTTTTGTTTTGTTTTGTTTTGCTTTGAGACAGGGTCTCACTCTGTTGCCCAGGCTGGAGTGCAGTGGCTTAATCACAGCTCACTGCAACCTCGACTTCCTGGACTCACATGATTCTTCCACCTCAGCATCCCGAGTGTGAGTGTCTGGGACTAAAGGCATGCACCACCATGCCTGTCAATTTTGTTTAATTTTTAGTTTTAGTAGAGATGGGGTTTCTTCAGGTTGCTCAGGCTGGTCTCAAACTCATGGGCTCAAGGGATCCGCCTACCTGGGCCTCTCAAAGTGCTGGGATTACAGATATGAGACACCATGCCTGGCCAAAAACTGAGAAGTTTTATGACTCAGTAGGATAGACATTTTTGGGGAAAAAAAAATCCACTTCAGTACATGTGAATGTTTCATAAACCATAAAGATCTCAACAATACACAATGTTGTTTGTATTGCAGTATCCTGTTGGCTTCTAGAATAAATTGGCAATGTCATAAAATGTGAGTCACTCAACATATTAAAATTCAAATTTTTATTCACTGTAATTCAATTGGAAATTTACATAGAAAGTAAAGGAAGTCAGCTTTCTAAGAAGTCATCACAACATATATAATAGACATTAAGTCAACAAAGATAACAAACAAAATTTTTAGAAGTCTTCCCACAATTTCATCTTCTAGGCTTTTGGGATTAGTAGTAGAAATTAACATCCAGTTTTTACCAGTCATATCCAGAATACTCCTGCTCCCTAGGAAAAAAGAGAAAAGTATCCTCAAATGAACACATTTATAATACCGATTCTTTCACCTCAATCTAGGATTTCCACTATAAAAGATAGTGACCAAGGTAAGTCTTCCAGGGAATAGTCCATACCTATTTGTAAGCAATCAATGAAATAAAATATTTTTCTCTCCAATAAACGCAAATATTTTTCTCCCATTTATTTTGACCACTTTATGTCAAAATCACAGGCTTTTCTCTATGCCAAACTTGCCTTTCTTTCTAAAACTAACAGCTCAAGGAACTTTCATAAGGGCCATTCCCTTTTCATGTTATCAGTATTAAGTTTATTTATGAAGTATCTACAGTCATTTCAATCATTTTTATTGGCAATAGGGAAGCTGCTATTCCTCTAACTTGTACTATTGATGTTACCAGTAAGTGAGAATTTGAAGTTGTGAAAAAAGACAGGTACTGATCAAATAATTTTTTTAAAAAACTGTATTTTTCTTTCCTCAAGATCTTGTCTCATGTTTTGGTTACCTACTAAGACATCAAATATCTAATTTACTCCACATTTCTGAATTAATAAAACAGGATTTTAAAAATACCTGGAATTTGTGGTCTGCATTCCACATTGTCAGAACATTTTACCAACTGTCTGTTAGGCAGGGCATTTAGAAACATTTTTAATCCCTTTTACAGGGAATGCAAAGGCAAATAAGTAATTTTCAAAGCCTTACTCCAAAGGTCCCCATATATAGTCAACTCAAAATGAACATCAATATCAAAAAAGGTGGCAAGATTTGGGTAGTAAAATATTTCATCTGTTATTTTCACCCCAAAATCAAAAAGGCAGCTTAACTTTTAAGAAAGAATGAGAAAGAGAGAAGGGAAAAGAGATGAGTACTCTGCCAGAGTACTCATTTTGAACAATCTTGATTAATTTAATAAATTGCTCCATTCCTAGAGAAGGGAATTACTTGCTGCAAATTATACAGCAATCATTAGCAAAAGAAACACCCAGAATTTCCCTGCGTGCAACAAATCCTTTTCCTCGTGTTTCAGCAACAAGGAACAAAAATAATACATGGGTTTGCAAAGTGATTTTCCTTCCCTCCAGAAACCTCAAACTCCACCTTGTGTTTCTTCAGTCTGTGGCTCCCAGGGGTACCTTCAACTCTCTCCAAAAAGAGTAAGACAGAGACTGAAATAAGAAGTGAGGAGGGGGATAGACAATGGGTGAGGCATGAGGAGTGAGTACAGACCCACTTCTCACCTGAATTAATCTCAGGTAGTAGTAGGTAACACAGCTTCTCACTTTTCTGCTCTTGCCAGAACAAAGTGCATTCAGCACAGGTGGTCTCTTAGCAACCTTGATTCCTGTGTCAAAACATAGCAAAAGAGTTTATTGGACAGTGAGGTAGTGTAGGAAGTGGAGGGGCAGGGAGCCTACACAGAAAAACTTTTTTTTAATTTCTTTAATAAACAGGCATGAGCCTATGTCTGAACACAGAAAAACTTCTAAAATTATTTTCAAAAATAGATAGGAAGGGGCCGGGCATGGTGGCTCACGCCTGTAATCCCAGCACTTTGGGAGGCCGAGGCAGGTGGATCACCTGAGGTCAGGAGTTCAAGACCAGCCTGGCCAACATGGTGAAACCTCGTCTCTATAATAAATAAATAAATAGGAAGGAGACGTCTAAGAGTGAACTTTTGAAAATATGACACTTTAATTTCTGCTTATCCCAGAATCATATAGCTTAAAACTGAACATTGGACAGAAAGATTAAGCTAATGTTAGAACTTCCCTGGTGGGGCAAACATTCAACACACTTTTTAAAGACATAATTCCCTAAAAATTATTTGAAACCAAGACTTTAATATCTTCATGACAAACCATAAAAACCTTTGTACGTCAGGGAGCATAACTCATGAGGTCCTTTGTCTGATTTTTAAGTACAGTTAACCCTCAGTACCCATGGCAGACTGGTTCTAGGGTACCCCACAGATACAGTAGCCATGGATACCAAAATCCATAGATGGTCAGATCTCTGATATGGATGGCATAGTATTTACATACTACACATATCCTCCCATTTACTGTGAATCATCTCCATATGTCACTTATAATACCTAATATGATGTAAATGCTATGTAAATAGCTGTCATGCTGGAATGTATACAAAACAATGACAAGAAAAGTGTACATATTCAATAGAGACATAAATATTTTTCAAAATATTTTGATCTGTGGTTGGTCGAATGCATGGATATGGAACCCATGGATCTGGAAGGCCAACTGTATTATGTTTTAATATCTTGTATCATGTTTACAAACAAATTAGAAAATGGAGGAGTGAATTTGTTACAAAAGGCCAGGCTATAAAATCTGATTGCTGTCTCCTTTAACCATGTACAGTCACACACTGCCTAATGACTTCAGTAAATAAAGGACTGACAGTAGCCCATAAGACCATTTTTTTTTTTTTTTTTCCAATAAGACGGGGTTTCACCATGTTGGTCAGGCTAGTCTTGAACTCCCTGCCTCAGATGATCCTCCGCCTTGGCTTCCAAAGTGCTTGGATTACAGGCGTGAGCCACCATGCTGGGCTCTTTTTATGCTTTTGTTTTGGTTTTTTGCCCATAAGATTATAACAGAGTTGTAAAGTTCCTATGTCCTAGTGAAGTCATAGTTGTTATAATTGTGGGTCAAGATGGCCAGGGAGAGACCTATGTTAGTTCTAGCTAAGTAATTATAAGCTTACTTGGCTCAGAGTACACTGAAGTTTATACACCAAACTAAACTATATTATTGGTGCAGTTAATTAGAAGTCAAGTGGCAACAGGAGGCCTAAGGTAAAGACCATTCGAGAGCGCAGTAACACCAGGGAACACCGGGGTGGTTGCAGAACAGGCAATACTGCCCTGGTCCCACAAATGACTTCTCAACATGGAAACTACATGAAGGTCTCATAAAGAGGGCTTGTGCAAAGATCTCTGAGAAGGGAGGCGACCTCTGCTCACAAGATCAGGGAGGGTCTTTGCAGATGGGAGCTGGCAAGGAGGAGAAAAGCCTTACAAGGCAGAGATCACAGAATGCCTCAGGCTCTGCCTAGGTTCTTGGAATATGGAGTAATTTTAATTGCTCTATGCCCTCAATGCTCAGGAGATAAAAGCCCCTTGATGCATTGGGTGTGGTCAGACCAGGTGGCTCCTCATCCGCTATACTTCTGATGCATTGGCACGCTGATAACAATCAGTGATAAACTCAGAGCACTAGGCTGGGCTTGGTGACTCACGCCTGTAATCCCAGCACTTTGGGAGGCTGAGGTGGGCGGATCACTTGAGGTCGGGAGTTCGAGATCAGCCTGACCAACATGGAGAAACCCCATCTCTATTAAAAAAAAAAAAACAACAACAACAACTCAGAGTACTAGCTTAGCATGTCTTAGAAGGATCTCAAGTGCTGTTAAATGCTCAGAGCACTAGTTTGGCATGTCTTAGAAGGATCTCAAGTGCTCTCTCCTGGGCTATCTTGCCTACCCCTTCACCCTCCTCTTCCTCGCCCATACGATCAATGAGATTATGCTCATAATAAAAGTGTTTGGGCCGGGTGTGGTGGCTCACACCTGTAATCCCAGCCCTTTGGGAGGCCAAGTTGGGCAGATCACTTGAGGTCAGGAGTTTGAGACCAGTCTGGCCAACATGGTGAAACCCCATATTTTAAAAAATAAATACATAAATAAATAAATAAAAGTGTTTGAAGACCAGAGGGCCAACGAGGTTCCCATGCTGGCCTTGGTCCCCTGTACCCATGCTGTAAATTCTACTCTTGTGTCTCTGCTTTTATGTCCTTTTCTCAATCCCTCATCACCACTGGGACTAAAAGCACCCAAGTACAGGGTTGGGGCTGGTACCCAACAATAATGTCATAGCACAATGCATTACTCATGTATTTGTAGTAATGTAAACAAACCTATGACATGGCCAGTCCTATGAAAGCATAGCACATACAGTGATGTGTGGTACGTCATACTCGATAATGATAATAAATGACTGTTACTGTTTATGTACCAACTATACTACAGTTTTTATCATTATTTTAGAGTGCACCCCTTGTACTTTATTTTTTTAAAAGCTAACTGTAAAACAGCCCGAGGTAGGTCCTTGAGGAGGTATTCCAGAAGAAGGCATCATTATCATAGGAGATGACAGCTCCATGCAGGCTATTGTCCCTGAAGACCTCCCAGTGGGACAAGATATGGACATGGAAGACAGTGATATTAATGATCCTGACCCTGTGCAGACCTAGGCTAGTATGTGTGTTTGTGTCTTATAAGTAAAATTAAAAATTTTAGTAGGAAAAAGCTTATAGAATTAGGATATAAAGAAAGAAAATATTTGTGCACAGCCATACAATGTGTTTGTGCTTTAGACTAAGTATTATTACAAAACAGTCAAAACATTAAGAAAATAAAAATGTTTATAAAGTCTCTTCTGGCAGTTCTGCTGCAGGAAAAAAAAAGTTTAGAAAGTAAAAAAATTATAGTATATGAAAGTTAATATTTTTTCTTTTTCTTTTCTTTTCTTTCTTTTTTTTTTTTGAGATAGGGTTTTGTTCTTGTTGCCTAGGCTGGGGTGCAATGGCGCCATCTCGGCTCACTGTAACCTCTACCTCCCAGGTTCAAGTGATTCTCCTGCCTTAGTCTTCTGAGTAGCTGAGATTGCAGGCAGGTGCCACCACATGCAGCTGATTTTTGCATTATTAGTAGAGATGGGGTTTCACCATGTTGGTCAGGCTGGTCTTGAACTCCTCACCTCACGTGATCTGTCTGCCTCAGCCTCCCAAAGTGCTGAGGTTACAGAGGTGAGCCACCATTCCCAGCCTATTTCTTTATTTTAAAAGTTAATTTATTACTGAAGAAAGAAAAAAATGATAAATGTAGTGTAGCCTAAGTGTACTGCATTTATAAGATGTACAATAGTGTACAGTAATGTCCTAGGCCTTCACATTCACTCACCACTCACTCAGTGACTCATTCAGAGCAGCTTCCAGTCCTGCAAGCTCTATTCATGGTAAGTGCCCTTACAGGTGGACCACTGCTTATCATTTATGCTGCATTTTTACTGTACCTTTTAAAATTTTTTATTTACTTCATTATTTTTTATCTTTTTGAGATTGTGTCTCATTCTGTCATCCAGGCTGGAGTATAGTGGCACAAACATGGCTCACTGCAGGCTTGACACTCCCCCCCGGGCTGAAGCAACGCTCTCACCTCAGCCTCCTGAGTAGCTGGGACTATAGGCGTGCGCCACCATGCTTGGTTAATGTTTTCAAAAAATTTTTGTAGAGATGGGGTTTCACCGCATTGCCCAGCCTGATACTGAAGCCCTGAGCTCAAGTAGTCCACCCTCCTTAGCCTCCAGAGTAGCTAGGGCTACAGGTATGCACCACCTTGCCTGTCTAATTTTTTATTTTTTGTAGAGACAGAGTCCTGCTATGGTGCCCATGCTAGTCTGAAACTTCTGACCTCAAGCAATCCTGGAGAACAGGAGTGTGATTCTAGCTCACTGCAGCTTCGAACTGCTGGCCTTAAGTGGTCCTCCCCACTTCAGCTTCCCAAACCGCTGGGGAGCCACTGCACCTTGACAATGTTAAAATGTTTAAAAATGATTATGACTCATACTTATGGCCACCCATTACACCCCATGTGTATTTCCCACCTAAAAAAATGCATGGCTATATGGAAACAACTTAAATGCCACTAGTACATGGATAAACCGTGGCCTAGTCATATAATGAAGTACTATACAACAATAAAAATTAAACTACAGCTGTAGACAGAAACAATGGTGAATCTTACAAATATAACATTGAATTTTAAAATACAAAGATGAGTGAATCTAACAAAGATAGCACTGAATTTTTAAAAGCAAGACACAAAAGACAACTGTGTAAGTACATTTACATAAACTAGAAAATACAGTTAAAATGCATGGTTTAGGGGTACATATATGATTTGCAGTAATGCGGGTAGTAAATTTATCAAGAAAAGAAAGGATTTGCTGCCACAAAAGCAGAATAGGCCTGACTTTAGAAAGTATAGAAGGAAGCCGGGCGCGGTGGCTCAAGCCTGTAATCCCAGCACTGTGGGAGGCCGAGGCGGGTGGATCAAGAGGTCAAGAGATCGAGACCATCCTGGTCAACATGGTGAAACCCCGTCTCTACTAAAACTGCAAAAAATTAGCTGGGCATGGTGGCGTGTGCCTGTAATCCCAGCTAC